GTCTTCCAGATTTACTCCTTCAGCTCTGATCTTGCCCCCACGTCCTCTTTAGGCTTCTCCACTGGGATGTTGTGCAATAGTAGTTCTCAAACTGAGTTCTCTGCAAGTGTCCCTCAGATTATGTTTAATGTGACAGTGGCAATTTTTATTTTTAAATTTATTTCAAGACGGAGTAATACAACACCAAACACATTTACATAATGAGTTTTATTATGCAAAAATGTATTATATATAATAGTATTATTTTGGTGATAAGTGAAATAAGTCCATTCTGGCTAACTTAATTTTTCAAATTCAATTTATGAGGATACTGAGCTAGCTCAGGGAAGCAAGAGGAATGGAATATGGTAACTTCAGAAAAAAGAGCTACAGGGACCTTGCAGCAGGAGTTGAATTGTCATTGACATGCCTCACCTTCAAGGCCTCCAGCCTTGATCTTTCAAGCTTCCCATTGCAGGGGACATCTGGCTGGCCTGTATTAGGTATGTACCTCAGCTCAATCAGCTGTGGCCAAGCAAGCAGTGTCACCTCCATGTATAAGAGCTATCTCCAGGGAGGGGGCATCAAGTTACTTGGTTCATACCAAGCAACCACCTCAACTGAGCTATCTTCAACATTTGGTATCCCAAATGCAGATGATCTGAAGCAAAAAGGTGAGTAAGAGCCATTCATTAATGCTCAGATACCACTTTCCAACTTAATTACCTGACTAATGTCTTGTACTTGATGATCTTTGGTCTGTCACAGTCTTAGCACAAATTCAAATATGACTGTGTTGACTTATTAGTAAAAAAATATTTACATTCCACTAAAAGAGGTTTCTTAATTTTACTAAGAAAGGTTTCAAACATACACAAAAGAATCTAATAAACCCCTTTGTACTCTCCTGAGTTTCAACAATTGCCAATTCTGTTTTTTATTCTTGCTTCATCGATTTTCCTATTTCATACTTTTTTGGGGGTGCTGGAGTATTTAAAATAAACTTTGTCATTATACTGAACTAGCAGATATTTCTAAGGTTATCCCTTAATAGTTAATAACATTGTTTTTAACAGAACTATAATGTTACTATTATGACAAAATTTAAAACAATTGTTTTACTTCATTTAACCCAATTATGTGCTAATTTCCCCATTATCTCAAAAACTAAAAAGTCCTGGGCCTCTCCCTGTTGGCACAGGGGTTAAATCTCAGCACTCTGAAGCTATCAGCAGCCACTGTGGTATCACAGAGATACCACAGAGCTAGCCCACATGGCCCAGCAGACCTCTCCTATCTTGCCTGCCGCTTGCCGCTCCCTTCAGCAGTGTATTTCAATCTGCCTGTTCTGCTCCCCAATCTCTGGTGAATCCTTTCACCACTCCCACACACACATCTAACCTACATCCCAGCTCTTGTATACATAAATCTTTAAAATAAAAAAACTTAAAAATCATAAATAAAAAAGCAGCACCTTACAGATTTTAAACTGTGCTTCCATTTTTAAAAAAAAAATTATTTATTCATTCATTCTGTAGAATTGGGGTGTTGGCGAGTGATGCAAGGGCACTAAGAGGATTCACCAGAGACAAGAGTGAGGAGCAGAACAGGCGGATCTACTGAAATGCACTGCTGACGGGAGCAGCAGGAGGGACAGGGGAAGTCTGCTGCACCATGTGGGTCAGCTCCCTGGCTACAGATCAACTCAGGCACAGTGGCGATAGTACTGAGACTTAACCCCTAGGCCACCAAGAAGGCTTGTGCCTTCTTTTTTTTTTTTAAAAAAAGGTTGAGTTTCTTACTCATAAACCCATTGAAGGTTCAATAATGAATTCTAATAGTGTAGGAATTACCACCCTAAATGCAAGCCCATCTCAAAATTTCTAAAACCTAAACTCATCACCTTCCCTTCCCCAACATGTTCCAACTCTTAAAAAATAACAACCGCCTCCCAAGTTTGTTGCTAAGATGATCCTTATTTATGATCATCTAAGCTACAGACGAGGGAGTCAACCTTAAGGCTTATCCTCCTCAAACCCTCGCACGCAGTTGTTTACCAGGTCCAATGGATCCTACCTCTTTATCTCATCAATTTGTCCTCCCTTTTCTATTCCCCATATAGGTTCAGGTCTACGTTGGTTTGTTGTTTTTTTCTTATATTACTGCAACTTTCTTATACTTGCTTTGTCTCTAATATTATTTTCCAGTGCTGCCAAGGTCTTTATTATGCATATGCGACCACATGCTATTTTTATATGAATATTTTTAATGGTTTTCTGTAGTCTTGCTTTCTCTGATGTGATACTTAACAGTCTGGGCCATACTTTACCTACCTCTAAATGTCCTTTGAGAAGATTTGTTTGCTCAGGAAGGCTTAGTATCTTAAGTGAAGATCTTCAGTAAACTTTCACAGCACCTAGAGCCTACCATTACCATCATTTCTATTGTGTCTTCTGTTTACCTGTGTGCTTCACAGCCAACTCACCCCCAGGGCAAGGTACTTAAGGGACTGTGTCTTACTCTCTTTTGTCATTCTCAGCATCAACCAAGCTGCGGCTCACCAAGTGACTGCTCACTGAATGAAAAAAATGGGTTGTTTGTTACTGAAGGTTGAAGCTGAGCCTAGAAGAGACTTCACTGGATAAAACGATAGACCACCCTTTCAAATACAGGTATTTCAACCGTAAAACTTACCCAGCATGCCCATCGGTTACTCTACAAACACTTTCACCCCGACTACCTTTCGTGTACCCCACCACCACTCATTTTAGGTCCCACCCAACCTTTCAAGAGCCATTTTCTATGTCCTGTCACCTCCTACTTCATAGCAAACTTAGCGTCTACATTCCCACTTTCACGCTCATCTCCACCTTCTTATCCATATTCAGCCTTTCTGATTAGCTACACTATTGGAATGTACACTATAGCAATCCTCTCAACTGCCCTACCCTGTTGCATTTACCATCCTTATTACAAAAAACAAACAAAAAATGGTTCCAAGAGATTTATTCACTTATTTATTCAACAAATATTTATTGCATACCCTCTATAGGCCTGGCACCCAGACACCCACCATCATCAAATTTATAATTTAGTGAAAATAAAGCGGTATTAAACAAATAAACATACAACCTATAAAGTCCAATTGTGAAAGTACTATGGAGGAAAAGTACTGAGATAAGACTGACTGTAGTGGGGAACCTACTGACTCTGAGTACAGTAGGCAGAGCTGGGAAGAATGGTCTGGCAGAAAAACAGCATGTATAAGGCCCTGAGGCTGGCAAAGGGCTAGCTGCTTCAAAGAAGTGAAGGAAGACCATGTGGCTGCAGCAAAATCACTGAGTGGGAGAGGGCACAGATGAGGCCTGAGGCAGTGAGGAAGACCATGTCGGACCTTGCGCACCACAGAAAAGATGGGTTCTAAGTGCAACTGGTTCTGATGCTGCAACTACTTTATTCATCTCTTATGTGAATGTGTGTGCTAAGGTTCCTAGCCAACCTACCAGTCTCTCCAAAGCCCATTTATGATGCAAAATATTGCCAAATAAATATTCCTGCAAAGGTAGCTCTCATTTTCCCTCTCAAAAAAAGTAAACAGCTTCCTCATTTCTACCACCTGGCCTGGGTTTTCTCAGACCACAGAAATTGCTCTGCAGTGTCAGTAATGACTCCCAATTAACAAGCAAATGAATTTCCCCCTTCACAGCTATCTGCACGATTTCATTTGCTCATTTAATCAGGGACAAATTAACTGCAGTCTATATGCTATAAAACTTGGAGGTCCAAGAAGTTGGATAAAATTTTAAGTCACTTATATTTTCTTTTTTAAGATTTACTTATTTATGCATACAGAACTGGGGTACAGGCCAGAGGTGTGGGGAGGGGGGTGCAGAGGCGTGTCAGAGAATTTACCAGAGACAGTGAGGAGCAGAACCAGCAGATGTACTGAATGAAATATATTGTTGAGGGGAGCAGCAGGCAGGTCAAGAGAGGTCTGCCACAGCATGTGGGTCACCTCCCTGGATGGGGATAGAACTCGTGCTGCAGTGACTGTGGATAGCTCCTAAGTGCTGTGCTTTAACCCGTTGTGTCACCAGGGAGGGCCCATCACTTATATTTTCAATGTTATCTAATATGCTGAAATTTAATTTTATGTGTAGGAAACTTTGGAGTACTAGCAGTACTTTTAGTTATCCTCACTAAAAATCATCAGTTAATATTTTCATACCATATACACAGCTGTCTCAAAATATCTCTACAGCTATGGGAATTTTTTTTTAATTTAATGTATTAGTTAAGAGCACATGTATCAATAAGTAAACATGTACTACTAGATCACTACATTTCTTTAAATATGTCTATAATTGTACGTATTCACAAATATGTCAGACAAAAGGCTCTACCATTTGGTTTCCTATTATTTTGTTCTCTTCTTTCTTGGTTGATGTTCTTCCATTGATTCCATTTCCTATTTTTGACAAAGATCAATCCTTGACCTACAATCAAAGTGTATTCCACTCCCTTCCTTATAAATCCCAACTACTTACAAAAATGATTCAGACATCAAGTCAAAGCTGACTTCCAAATCTACTTCACCTAAACTTTTTTTCTCCAACTTCAACCCTAGATCTTAAACTACCTGCTGTGCTTACCAATCAGGCAGACTGCCTGGATTCAAAACCCACCTTTGACCACAGTGTGACATCTTTTGCTTCCACTGAAAAATGGGGGTGACAGCAATAGTATTTACTATATAGGATTAACTATATATAGTATTTACTATATAGGATTTACTTTATAGGATATAAGGATTAAAAGAGTTAATATATCTAAAGCACTTATAAGAACGTCAGACTCATTTCACATACTCAAATGTGTTAGCTATTGCCAGTCTCATCGCCTGCAGACCTTGACATTTTTATTTGACATTAACAAGCATAATACTAGCCATTTAAGGATAAAAAGATCAACCTCCTAAAGTAATGACCCAATTCTGATCAAGTCATTGCTCAGAAACTTACCTCCATTAGATCCAAGCTTAGTGGTGCTGGAAACCCCAAATTTGTCTTCCTTGTCTCTTCTTCCATAAGCTGTAAGCTGTTCTTGTAACTTATATTCTATTCCAGCCAGACTGGACTGCACTGCATGCTGTGAAAATGACCTGTGTTGTGTTGCTTCTGCCTGCCTTTCCTCACATCATTCCAACACATACCCAACAGTAGTGATTTTGTCTTATCATGATTATTTCCCCAACAGTATGCACAGAGCCCCATAACACATATATTTTAACTTATTTAAGTCACAGTTACTTAAGCATCACTTCCTTCAACATTTGCTCACTTTGTCTCCTATTACCAGGTACCATGCCAGGTGAGGGTATTTTGAGGGAAAAAAAAATGCAAAATTTTCGGGTTCAGGTACCAAAGTCTAATAAGGGAAAGAAATAATCTTATAAAAGCCACTCACATTGAAAAGTGCAACTGTAAGAGCAAGGGACGCCAAATAATGTCAATTCAATATGGGAGGCAAAAAGTAGGCTTTTTTGGATGATGGTATTTGGACTTAGATGGGAGAAAGCCTATTGTTCTATGCAGACAGCAGTGATGTGTAAAATACAGTCATAAAACAATATAGTATGTCTGGGGGAATGGTTTGTTATGGCTGGAGTACAGGGTCCAAGGAGAAAGAGCCAGACCTGAAGATGGCCAATCCAGGAGTTTGGATTTTATCTCACAGGCAATGATTGATATAGGGCTTGAAACAGCATTATGGGGCCAGTTACATTTTGGAATGTTTACTTCCGGCAGTTTTGTGGCAGAGAGGACAATTCAGAGCAGTACTGTCCAATGAAACTTTCTGTGATGATGGAAATGTTCTATAATTTGTGCTGTCCAATGAAAGCAACTAGCCACATGTAGTGAATGAAAACTTCAAGTGTGGCTGATCAAACTGAGGCACTAAATTACAAACAGTTAAGTCTAATGGCTATAAAGAAAAGAAAAAAATCAAGAATGAACTCTCAGATTCCAGTCTTCATGACTGAATAGCTGCCCTCGACCAGGAAAATAAGGAATGAGGCCTGCAATGCACACAGACTCAATCAACTTAATACCTGTTGAAGTATCTAAGGATCACCCAAGTGATAACATTTAGTATAATTTAGCTCAAAAAAGTTGTTTGAACTAGAAAGAGATTTCAGAAGCTTAGAGTCATTGAATGATATCAAAGATCAGCAGACACAGGAGTAAACGGAGGAAAAGTTCTGGTAAACATCCAGGAATAGACTCGGGCTAAGGAGAAGTCCACAAAGCAGACTGAAAAGAAACAGTTGGACAGGTAGGGAAAGATGAGTGAGAGTGGTCACAGAAATCAAGGGTGCAGAGTAGTTCAGGAAGGAAGCATGATCAAATGTCAAATGCTTCAGAAAGGTCAAATGAGGTGAGAACTGAAAAGTGCTTCCCCACTTTGCCAATTAGGAGGTCCTCTGTGACCTTTGACAGAACAGTTTCAGTAATGGAAGAATGGGATGAAAAGTAGGGATGAAGCAGAGTAAACAGTCTATAAAGTGATGCAATACCGGTTATTTTCTTTCGGGCGGGGAAGGATGGACCTAGGGGGGAGAGGCTGGGAAAACAAGAGACAAGTTAAGAAATCCCGTGGGTAGAAAATGGATATCAGCTTCAGGCAGATCAAAGAAATTACCTTAAATCCAAAAGGGCTTCAAGTAAGATGGTGAAGGGATGCAAACAGCCCAATTTACAGGAGGGAGATGGGAAAAACCACAATTCTGCAGGTGGCCTTTCCGGTTTGCTGATGGGGAGTGGGGGTTAGAGATTACAGAATGAAAATCTGGTCCATACTCTGAAGATGAAGGGACAGACGACTGGCCATAAACAAGCTACAGACTATATTTCAATGTCAATTTAGCAATCGCAACATACCTGGATTTTATGGGATTGATTCAAGGCGGAGCGGCTAGAGGGCAAAGCTTCGGCAAAAAAGCAGAAGAATGTTACCTTAAATAGTCAAGTATGAGATAAGAAGTAATCAGAGGCTAAGTTGAGAAGTCAGAGGTATCCAGAGACTGGCAGATCTCAAACTTTCGGCAGATTCAGAGGAAATCGGATTGTCAAACTGCCTAAAACAAAAAAGCCCAACAAACCGCCTAAGCCTAACGCCCAACGCCCACGCCTCACCTCCCCACAGCAGGCACTACTAGTGAGGAAACTCCCTTTCGCGTGGTCTAACTGTACTTCACCCGGGAGGGGACCCCACCCACCCTGTAAACCCTCACATCTCAGGTTCAGCGCCATTCTCCTTCACTGACAAGGGCTTGGCAGCGCGCCTTTTTGCTGGACTCTGGCCAAGACGTGCCACCCAGCGCTTTACGCTCGCGCAAAAGGAACTAAGTCAGGCCGCCTGGGGCCGCTCCGCTAGGCCACCGTCAGTCGAAGAAGCCGCGGAGGAAAAAGGTCGGCGCTCCGCGCCCGCCCCACCCACTGCGCGCGCTCCGAGCCCCGCCGCTGGAGCTGCGGTTCCGGCTCTGACGCCTGCGCGCTGGGGCTCTCCCCGCGGCCTCCGGCGCTGCTTCCCCTCCCCCAATCCAGTCGCACCCTTGCGCCTGCGCAGTGCGCGTTCTTGGGCTGCGGCAGCCATGCTGAACCCGTACGGAGACGCGAGTGGGGGGGACAGGGTCGACGACAGCGGGATAGCAAGCCGGGGAAATGGAGAAGCAGCGGCCTTACTGCGTTCTGGGTCTCGGAGATAGGCCCGGCCACGTGGACCCTTTGGCCCTTTGCGCGACCCCCAGGAATCTTTGGAAAACTGGCCCCTCAGGCGGGGGATGGGGGTGAAAAGGGACGGTCTCACGTGACCCGGGCCAGCCAATCTGCGTGCTGCTGACGTGGCCGCGCGGCCCCGATGCTCTCCCCACCCCCCAGCTTGGTCGGGAAGGGAGGGGCTGGGGGCTACGCCCCCTCCCCCAACACAGCTCCAGTTTCCGGGGGGGTGACACCCCAGATTACATCCTCCCCCCGCACCAAGCCGAGGGGAACATTGGAGCCCCCCTTGGAAGGTCCCAGGATCCAGGTGAGATGGGGCCCTTGTGGGGAGGGGGCCCTTGTTAGTCATTTAAGTGTTTCACCAATGGTGGGGTGCCCGGGAGGGAGATTCTTGGGGTTCGGATTAGAATCCAGAGGGTGGGAGGATTTGTCCTTCAAATAGTTTATAGCCAATGGGAGAGTGGGGGGGGGCGAGCGGGAGAGGGCCCCTCAGGTGGGGGAGGGGAAGGGCCAACCTCGTGCCTTCATACCAATTGGAGGGCAAAGGGGCGTGGGGCCTTGTGTCCCCCCCCCCAGTCCACTCGTTCCCCGGGGGTCCAGGAGCCGGGAGCCAGGTGAGGTTTCCCTGTGGCGGCCGCAGGGAGGGGTGACCTGGCGGGCCGTGGAGTGGGAGTGGTGCCTGTAGCTCCTACTCGTGGGTTCGAATGCTTGGAGTTGGCAGCCGCTTGCAAACTGAAGCTTGTTCCCGGGCGCCCACTCCCCTTCTCCCCAGAGACAGGGAAGGAGCGCCTCTGTGCCCCCTTTGTGTCGGGGCGGCGAGCCCGCAGTCGTCACATGGCGCGCTGCAAGCTACGCTTCGAATCGCGCGTCCCGATTGTGTGCATTCACGTGGACGCGGCCTGCGGGGCCCCTGCAGGCCTCGGGGCCCCAGCGGGGTCTCACCGCGCGTCCACTCCGGGCTGGGAGGGCAGACGGGCCGAGAGCGGACCCCACAGTGGGGTCCACTCGGACGCAGACGCCAGGCCCGAGGTGGGTGTTGGGAGGGCGGTAGGAAGCTCGGGTTGAGCCAGGAGGGAGCGAGGTCTAGGACCTGGAACGGTGACAGCTCACGAGGCTTCGGGTTTCTCCAGGCGGCGTCTCCGGCCGCCTCCCCTCCCCCAGCCCTGAACAGTTCTCCCCTTGTGCCCCGCGGGGGAGGGAGCGGAAAGCGGGGAAGAGTTACTTTTCCAAATTACTGAGTTGCAGTGGCCTCCCTGGTGACTCATGTGGGGGAAGGGAGGACGTGGAGGCAGCGGGAGCCGAGATTTTCCGGAATGCAGGGAAATAAGCCCGGGCCCTGTCTGGCTGCCCTTTCGCTTTCTAAGGCCCAGTATTTTCTCGGCCTGAGTTTTCCCGGGAGGGGCCTTCGTGCATTGCTGCAGGGCTGCGGGCGGGGAAGCGCGACTTGGGAGGCCGGGCCACTAGGGGGAGGGGAACGGGGGAGGGGAGCCGGCCTCCACAAAGTTGCTGTGTCATTGCCCTCTCTGCTGCAGCCATCCGGCGGCCCGCCATTACCTTGGGGGCCGAGGCCGGGATCCGTGGTAGGGGATGGGGGAGGGGAAAGAGGGCGAGAGTCTGTTTTCCCCGTGCCCCTTTAACCCCGCAGGGTTTGCCAGACACGGGTGGTCGAGACGACGGGAGATTGACGGCCATTTTAGACAGTAACCGAGGTTAAGGCCGGAGACCTGCTGCGAAGGAGGGAGGGTGAAGTGGCTGGGGCCTGGGACCTAGACCTCAAGAGCTCTTCCCTGGGTGGGGTGGGGTTCTTTGTTCGTTGACTTAGATTTTTTAATAAGCAGAGCCTCCTTGGTAGCCAGATAGGGGTTAGTGGAGGGGGGGGGAGACCTCCTGCTAAAGCCCAAGTTGGGGAAATTCTTTTACTCTTCTTCAGGGGTGGGGCGAGGGAAGCCCCGGAGAGGGCCTTAAGGATCCTGACCTTGTGCTCCGGCTCTATATTCAAAGCCAGCCCAGCCCCATTCAGATAACCCGATAGTGGGGAGGACTTAGGTGAGCGTGTTGGGGGGAGGGAGAGAAACAGCTCCCAAAATGGCTCCTGCCCCTCCTCGGAGGCGGACGGCCCGGGGGGAGGGGAGGAGGGGAGAGAAGGGGGGAGGGCTAGTCTGAGCCGCAGCCGCCGCCTCCTCCGCTCGCCCTCCTCCCTGGCGCTGACCGATGGACCAGCCGCTCCGTGGGGAGGACTCCGGACCCCGGTGGGGGATGGGGGGCTCCTCTGTCCCCCTTCTTGGGCGGAGGGAATCTTAAGGAGGGGGGATGCGGGCCTGCCCTGGGGGTGGGGAGGGCGGGGAGCGTGGGGAAAGGTCTGAGCTCGCTGGGAGGGGGAGGATTCGCCCCTCGCAGGACTTGTTTTTTCCGCTCTGAGCCAGACTCGGGAATGAAGTGTGGGGAGGAGGTGGGTTTCATTGTCTAGAGGAGAGGGGTGCGTTTGGAGATTTTGCTCCCACTTTGGGGTTGCCGGGGTCGCGTCGAACAGGCAGGTATTTGTATTGGGAACTGAAGGTATGCGTGGGAACTGGAGAGGTACTCGGGGCACAAGTTTTGGGAATGTATATTGTTTCGTTGCCTTGTGGATAAGAACCCTTCGGGAGTTTCGATAGGAAATTGAGTTTTGTCAGATAGCCTTTCAGTTGTTGACCTGGGGAAGGTCGGGACGGATTTTAAGACTCGGGCACGCTTGTGTGTTTTCTCGTGGGGCATGTTGGACGTATTCGGTTCTTTTATTGCTTTCGGGCCCCTTTAACTGTTAAGCATTAGTACCAGGCCGCGGCTTCTAAGATGGCGTCTTCTTCCTCGTTTCAGATGCTTCGCTGCAGCGGCCTCACTGACGAGAACGAGCCGCCCGGCGTCCTGTGGCCACACCCTGGCGGCCTCGGCAGCTACGCCCCCGCGGCCCCTCCACTGCTCCGAGTCTGGCCAATGGAGGACCTACGAATGGCACGACCGGCCCCAGCCTGGCGGTCGCCGGTCGTGCCGGGCTTGGATACCAGGGAAGATTTTGTTGGAAGGGGAGGCGGGGAGAAGGTGCTGCACCCCTGCCGCCCTCCCTTTCTCCCTGAAGTCGCTGAACCATCGCGCGGCCAATTGGCTGGGAGATGTGGCGGGTTGCCGCTTCCCGATGGGTCTATGCGGCACTGTTCTGCCTGGTGACCGAGGCTTTGGAAATGGAGGTTGTGACGTCATCGCCCCAGCCGACCAATAGAAGACGCTCCCGCGGAGAGGCGTTCCTCCCCCTCCGACTCTGCTTCTTCACGCGCGTGAGCGAGCGTGAGCGCGCTGAGGGGGTGGGAGAAGTCTCGAGCACGGTGGCGCGCATGAGCAGCGAAGCTCCGCCCCCCTGCCTATATATAAAGGGCTGGCGCGGGGCTCGGCGGCGCCATTTCGCGCTGGAGTGGAGCAGCCTCTAGAACGAGCTGGAGGATTCTGCCTACCGATACAGAGCCTTCGAGTCGCCGGGGGCCGCCATTACAATCCACGTCCATCCGCTTGGAAATGGCTTTCGTCTCGGCCTATAGCCGGACCCGGCGGACAGTACAGACCCCATAGAAGCCCCCGAAGCTCCCCTTTTTTGGGCCCCGCCCAGTCCTCGGAGTCTGTCCACCCCCTCTACTCCGCCCTCAAGAGGATTTCAAAGATGGAGGCGGCGGCTCCCTAAACCACTTTTCGTGTTCATCCGCCTCCATCCGAGATCGAAACGGGACCTCGTCCATTCCGGACGGTCCCAGCAGGAAGAGGGGATTCTTGCAGACCAACAGCGGGCAATATTGACGACGGTGTCTGGGATCGGGGGCCATCCTAGGGTTTGAAGAGTTCGTCCCCCCCTTGCTCGCCCGCCTCAGCTGAGGCCGCCGCCATTTTCTTGCTGTCCGCCTCCTGCAGAGCGCGCCAAGCTGCCGGGAGCTCGCCGAGAACCAAAGGAGGAGACTGTTTTCGTGCCGGCGCGGCGGGGGGGTTGTCGCCTGGAGGGCCAAGGGCAGCGGCCCCCCCTACTTACCTGGTTATGCTGAGGCGGGCAGTAAGGGGAACCGAGGCCACCCGGACTTTCCGCGCCTGAGGGCAGCGCCGGTTCCCTGCGGTCAAGATGCTGCAAAACGTGACTCCCCACAACAAGTACGTGCACTTAGCGAGCCGCGTGTGGGAGGGGGTCGTGGGGAGGACTGCGGCACGGGCGTGTGGAACTTAGGGTTCGGAAGGGTGTACGGGGCCGGCTCCGGCGCGTTGCTATTTCGTTGCGCGACTGTTGGTTCCCGGGGCTCGCGGAAGAGGTTGAGCGACGGTTTTGGAACGGCGGTAGCGGCCCAGATACCGCGTATGGAGGGAGTACAGGTTGTCAATTTGTATACGTTACTTTTCCCGCCGTCCGATCTTAACCGAGACTGACCGGGCTAGGTTGGCGGCGGAATGTAATGGGAACAGGACGGACATTGATTGGAGAGCAGGTCCGGCTGGTAGTGGATCTGGTGTATGGCGACAGTTTG